TCTGCATTGTCTGCCTCCTGGTGGTCAGTGCACATCATAGCTACTGGTCCGATGGTCCCTTACCCATATATATATATATTATAATATAATCCATTTTATGGATAGGCAAGATTTTGTTTATCCATTCATCAGTGGCTTTTCTTTTTCATTTGGGTATTTTGAGTAAGGCTAGTATGAATATTCATGTACAAGTTTTTTTTGGTTGCTTTCGTTTCATGAGAGTGTGGATATATATTTTCAATTCTTTGGGTTTATACCTAGTAGTAGTATTGCTGGCTTAAATGAAAACTCTATAGTTAACTTTTTGAATTAAATTCAAATTGCCAAAACAATTTGAAAAGCTGTTAAACTCTTTTTAAAAGTGGCTGCACCATTTTACACTCTCATCAATCTTTATTAACACTTGTTATTATTATTATTACTAAAGGCCCAGTGCACAAATTCATGCATCAATAGGTTCCCTTGGCCTGGCCTATAGGATTGGGCTGAAACTGACTCTCTGATATCCCCCAAGGGGTCCTGAATTGCAATAGGGCATAGGCCAAGCTGAGGGACCCCATCAGTGTATGATTGTGGCCAGGGAAGGATGTAGGGGGTTGGGAGGGACTGTGGAGGGTCTTCAGGGTGTGTCCAGCATGTCTTGCTCAGTTCTGATCGGCTGCACCCCAGCAGCAAGGTAATCTACCAGCCAGAGCATCTGCCTCCTGGTGGTTAGTGCATGTCATAGTGACTGGTCAACCAGTTTACTGTCTGCCCCCTGGTGGTTACTGCACATCATAGTGAGCAGTTGTGTGGCCTTAGCATATCATTAGTATATTATGCTTTGATTGATTGAATGACCAATTAGACGACTGGATGACTGGACACTTAGCATATTAGGCTCTTATTATATAGGATAGTTATTCTAGTGTGTAAAGTAATATCTTGCTGTGTGTGCAAGCATGTGTGCAGGAGAATGAGTGTGTGTGTGAGTGTATGCAAGTGTATTTGTTGGGGAGAGGGTGCCCTGAGTTCCAAAATAAGTTGTTCAAAGCTACCAAAAAATGGTGGCTGTGAGAAAATGTTACTTGATGTCCCCAGGTGATGTCTCCCAGCCCAAGAGTGGAGAACACAGGTAATATCAAAACATTTGTCCACACAGACACTTTAGGGCAGGTGGAGGAGAGGAGTCTGAGGGCTGATGAAGGATGTGGCTGGTGTGGCTGCCATGGCTGGGGCTCAGGAGCAGAGAGAACTGGCGTCATCTCAGAATCCAGGAGGAAAGTCCTGTTGGCACTTGCAGTCCAGCATGGCAGCTATAGCAAGCAGAGCTGTCAGCTCAGGGCTGGGTCTGGGGGATGAGAAGAGAGCCAGAGGTTTCCCAGGCTGGCTCACACCTCCCTCTGGAGATCATGACATTGAAAGACATCCATCCTGAGGAAGCCCATAGTCTGAGCAGATAGGAAGTTGAGAATACAGAAAGGTGGTGACAGAGGCCCCAAAGTTTCAGCAATGGCTGCAGATGGACAGGGGCTGCCTCTCAGCACAGGGAAAGTCCTTCCCTCCCAGACATGGAGCTGAAACAGGAACCTGCCCAGAGGCTGACAGTAGCTCTATGGAGAAGAGAGAGAGAAGGATCTGGCATTGAGCTCCATATTTATTCAGAAGGGACAGGGAGTCTTGAGAGTAGGAAATACATGCCTGTGACAGACAAAATATGATCATTATGCTTTGAAATAGAGCTGAAACCTTAGTAAAATACCAGGATTCTTGAACTCCACCATCAGTGAGGGAGCCAGCTATATAAGCTCTCCTGCCAAAGGAATGCATGAGTCAGCTTTGGTTAGATTAACAAGTTCCTTTTTCTTCCCATTTTAAGATGAAACAAACAAACAAACAAACAAACAAACAAAAAGTAAATCTAAAAGATGTAAAACAAGAGGGATTAAAAAGAAGCATGGACATAGAAAACAAATAAAATATTAAAAGTAAGTTCAGATGGATCAATAATAACAATACATATAAATGTACCAAACTCTCCAGTTAAAAAAATTAGAGATGGTCAAATTGGAGTTTAAAGTAATTCAGCTACATGCTGTTTCCAAGAGCTACTTCTAAGTCACAGGACATAGGAAGTTTACAAATTATCTAGCAAGCCAATAAAAAGCAAAGAATGTTGACATCAATAGTAATATAATACCAAGCAAATTATACCCTCAGGGAAAAAAAGCATTATGAGACCCGATGTATAACATTAAAATAAATTAAAAAAAAAAACAATTTATTATTTAAAAACATATGCATATGCCACAAATATATAAATAAATTACTAATAGACCACGCAAGTTACCTGGAGATGATGAGGGTGGGGGTGGAGGTTGTGATTGGGGAAGTACATAAAAGTAGCTGCAATTCTATTGACAATTTTTTATTATTCTAAGTTGGGTGGTGGCTACATGTGGTATTTGAATATAATTTCTTCACATATATTCCATGTTGAAAAGAGCTTATCACAATAATAACCCACTCTCTTCTAACTATTATTACAAATAACTTTCAGAGCAACGAAGCTGTCCACTACAGATGCCGTGAAAGTGTAGGTCAGAGAGCTCCTTGGGAAAAACAGTAACTCGAATGGGTAAGGCAATTTAATGATATTTGGCAGCATCCTCTTAGGGAAGATAAGAGTGCTCTTGTTTTAGTAAGATACTTGGATAAGCAAGTTACTTACACTCAATTTTGTCCTTAGGGAAATGTGTGTGGATAAAGCAATTCCCTTGCCAGAAACACCCTTATCTTGTTACGTTGTAAGTTCCTTGAAAGAGAATCACAAGGATTAAATTGTCAAATGATGGTCATTGGGGCTAGTTCAACACCAAAAGGAATCCCCAATTAGGGGTGTGATGAAGAAGTAAACTTTATTCAGTGTAATCTGCTTAATTGTGAGACAGTAGGCCCTGGGATAAGGCTCCTCTCCAGCTCTGCTCTGGTTCATTGAGACATCTTTGGTGTTTCAAATCCATCAGGGAAACATTGTCTTCAGCCTCAGCTGGAAAGAGAGCATGTACTCTTACAGCCAGAGGGGAAGGTGACTTATATAGAGAGAAATTCCCACCCCTGACCCCTGATTGGCCCATCATCATGCAAATTAGGACTCAAAATCCTTGCAGTTTGATTGGTCAGAATGCAGACACTCTGATTGGTTGGTAAAAATTGATGGACAGGAAAAGCCACAGTCCTATTGGTTGATATAGGTTTCCAGGAACTTTTTTATAAGGGTTGACTCAGATGGTAAAAACAGAGCAGGTGGGCAGTTCAGTGTAGGCTTCTCCCTGAAGTGTAGTTTGCAGGGAGGCCCCTGTGTAGAAATGGCTGCTGGTCCTTCTTGGTAGGTAGCTTCTTTCTCAGGGTCCACAAAATGAAACAATGACTGAAAGTAAAGTACTTAGTACATAGTAGGTGTTCAATGAACTGCATTAAAATATTTCTGGAAGTGAGGCAGAGCAGAACCAGTGAGATAAAAAGAAAGAGAAATGAGATACTACTTCCCAAACTCCAGATGGCCCTCCCTCAGGGTTGTGCACACTTCTACCACAGCACTCACTCTGTTCTCACCTACATTTCTGTGTCCCACCTGACTCACCTGTGCATTACCTGTTCTTTCAAGCACTGTGTCTGGTGCAGGGACACTCCCTTGCCATTTCGAGAATGTAGGAAACATGCTGATTTTTTTTTTTAAGTGACTGTAGGACAAATCATATAAATGCTGCAAATAAATGAACCCATTTGGGCTCTGATGACATTTACTGACAGTACTATACTAAAGCAGCTCATTTTCTTGTCATTACAACAGTGATATTAAACATGCTCTTTCACTTTACAAATATTTCATGTTGGTGCTTCTGTCTCTGTCACTCAGATGAGCAATGTAAGGCAAAAGTGATCTAAATTTGGATGATGTGAGCATATACCTTCCCCTTTCATCTCACTTATGCGTGTTTATAGGCTATCCTCTCCCTCCCCCTCCCCCCCACCCACCCCCTGCTTCTTTAGCTCCTAGCTGTGGGCAGGGTGAGGGTGGGGATTAGGGATTTCTCAGTGCCAATCATGGACTTCCTGAGGCTTATTAGGTGAGCGTTCTCACTGGGAGAAAATTGAAAGGTGCTGATGGGTGAGGAGACTTGCTCACCCCTTGGCCTCCCGCCCACGCTCTGAGCAGCTCAGCTGCCCTTGCCACCGGGTCTGTGAGGCCAGCGGAACCACCCTTTTGCTGGGCTGAGGCTGGTTCGGACCTTGCCGAGGGCGTCTGATTCCAGTGAGAGGTGGGCGGGGACCCATCCTTTAGGATTGGTCTAGTCTCCGCGTGGTGACTTCCGGGGGCAGGGAGGCTCCCGGGGGCGTGGATTTCTCCCTCCACATTATCTCTCATTTGCCACCGAGCGGCCGAAGCACCCTCCTGCCAACTGCCTGGAAAGTGCAGAAAGAGCGCTGGCTCTGCTGGCGACTTGGAACCCTGGCAACAGCTGGGAGTGGAATCGGTTGGCAATCCTGGGCAGCCCTCCTCTCCAGGAACCGCGAGGAATCCCGTGCGCACACAGCACAGCCCCTGGCGAGCTTGGCGAGAGAGCGGCTCAGAGCAACAGGTGTGGCGGGAAGCCACCCCGGGAGCTGAGCGAGGGAGTGGGTCGCAGGGATCCGGAACAGGTAAAGCGCAGAGAGGGCTCTCTCCACCTCCTGGGCTGTACCGCGGTCCTGCCTCTGCTCAGAGTCCGCGCAGCGGGCTGAGGCGGCCGGGAGGGCTCCCCTGAGCTCTCGGGACTGCCGCCTCTGCCCTGGAAGATCCAGCACTCAGCCAGACCCTCCCAAAGACAGCGCTGCCAGGGTTGCTCAGGCTCGGAAACTGGCACTCTGAGCTCGGGGCTGGGTCTCACCCAGGAGGTATCCCCCTCCCCCCTTGGCACCTCTGTCCCTGGCAGGCAGCCCTCACCAGCGCGCCCGCCAGAGGGACGTCCCTGCAGGTCATGGAGTTGGTGGCCGGGAACCTCAGCGAGGGGAACGCTAGCGGCCCCCAGCCCCCCACCCCGGACCCGCCGCCGCAGCTCTTCGGCTTTGGCATGGAGAACTTCATTACTCTGGTGGTGTTTGGCCTGATCTTCACGCTGGGCGTGCTGGGCAACAGCCTGGTGATCATCGTGATGGCGCGCAGCAAGCCGGGCAAGCCGCGCAGCACCACCAACCTGTTCATCCTCAACCTGAGCGTCGCCGACCTGGCCTACCTGCTCTTCTGCATCCCCTTCCAGGCCACGGTGTACGTGCTGCCCTCCTGGGTGCTGGGCGCCTTCATCTGCAAGTTCACCCACTACTTCTTCACGGTGTCCATGCTGGTCAGCATCTTCACGCTGGTGGCGATGTCCGTGGACCGGTACGTGGCCATTGTGCACTCCAGGCGCTCCTCCTCCCTGCGGGTGTCCCGCAACGCGCTGCTGGGCATGGGCTGCATCTGGGCGCTGTCCATTGCCATGGCCTCCCCGGTGGCCTACCACCAGCGCCTCTTCCACCGGGAGTCTGGCAACAACGGCAACCTGACCTTCTGCTGGGAACAATGGCCCGACCAGCGCCACAAGAAGGCTTACGTGGTGTGCACCTTTGTCTTTGGCTACCTGTTGCCCCTGCTGCTCATCTGCTTCTGCTATGCCAAGGTAGGAATGGGCCCAGGTGGGGGGGTGGGGAGTGGCATAGGTGGCTGTTGGGCCTGGGGTGAGAGGGCCCTGGGGTTTCTCTGCATGTCCCCATTCCCCTTTCCAAGTCCCAACAGTGGCCCCCATCGTTTTGTTCTGATCTCTGTCGCCACCACCGATTTGCCAGCTTGATGTTGTGGTGAAAGTTACCAGGAGTTTGGGAGACGCTGGGAAAGTTCCCAGAGTCCCACTTACCCCCAGGTGGCAGCCTTCTGCCACCCCAGGTTGTCCTGGCAGCAGACAGGCAGGCTCAGGCTCAGCCTCTAGGCACAGGGAAACCTGCGTGGGTTTAGCTCCTCAAACCTGGCCAGCCTGCCTGAGACTGCAGTCACCAGGAGCACCTGTCATTCTGAGCCAGTGGGCCTTTTGCCCGGTGGCAGGGCCCTTTGTCCCCTGGTCAGCACTCAGCTGGGACATGAGGAGGTGACTCCCATAAGGAAGGCTGGGCGGGGCTTGGCTCTGTAGAACCATTGCCCTGGGGATATGGTTCAATTTTATTTCACACAGAGGTTTAGCCATGTAAACCCAGTGGGAAAGCAGCATTTCTTCACAGAGTCCTGACTGCGTCTCCAGAGAACTTGGGATGAATGGGTCTTGGTCCTTTTAGGGAGGTTGTGTAAAGGAGGTAAGTAACTCAGGTGGCAGATCCTACTGACTCCCTCCCTGGGGAGGGCACACCTGGTCCAGCTCCCCTGACCTGCTCATGTGCACTGACATTGTCCTTACTCTTCCTTCAACTAGTACCTGTAGTGCTCAGCAGACCCACCTTCTCTGGCATTAATAACACATGGGTTTTGAAGATTTCATACAGATCAAAAGTCTTTAACATTTCACACAATTTGTTTATGTTTGCGTAAAAAAGCATATGCCTAATACCCATGTGATTTCTGTCTGAGAGGTAAAACCCAATGTCCCCAGCATGCAGTCTGGGAGTTACCATCACCATCAGAGAAACACCTGTGGACCCCAATTCTGAAATTCCACCATATTATCTCCATCTCTTGGTGAGTCTCATTCTATTTCTGATATGGCTTTGACTACAGGGGCATGAATAACCAGATGAGGTACAACAATAATTTTATTCAGTTTAGAAAGTACTATCCCAGCAATAATATTTAATATAAGCCATCTGGATTTTGTCCCCAACCCATACCATCCATGCAGAGTTATGTCTGTTTTGAATGGTGATAGTGTTGGATATTATTTTTTAAAATGGCCTGCATGAAAGGAATAAGGAATTTAGAAAAGAACTTTAGCTTAACTCTTTGGTAAATGGTTGGCTTACTCAGGGGGCTTCTGCTAATAGAGAACAGAGTTCTCTCTGCACAGCACAGCAGCCTGACATGTGCCCTGGATCATTTCACCCCCAGGCTGGAGCTCTGGTCCCTGTTTTATTGATAAGGGAAAGGGTTTTGGAGGAATGAAACAACTGACTCAGATTAGGAAGCTAGCAAATGGTTCAGAAAGGATTTCAATGCAGGGATTCCCTGTCCTCTGATGGAGGGGACAGTTGGTGAGGACCTTGGAGACATGATGCTTGGGACAAGAGGGGTTGTTCACAGATGTACCTCTTAATTCATAATTACATAGATTAGAACTGAAGCATATTTTCTTCATTTCCTGGAGGTTTTTAGGTCTTCTTAATGGAAACGACCAAGGTAAACTTCTAGAAATAAATTAGGCTACATGTCTTTCTTAGAGCAAAGTTTGAAAATGGTTTTTAAAAATTCAGTAAACAAATGATCATAGGGATTTTTTAAAATATGGAGATAGTTTGCTTTTAAGCATAAGTCCAAATCATCTTTTGAATACATTGTAATTAAGCAAATTCACTTCGTGGCTTGAACAGATGGAGATAATATGTAATGTCAAGTTGCTTTTCTTTAGTTCAACCATCAAGTGTAAACTCATCAGTTAAGGATTTTGCTACCTGAATGTTAAGTTCAGACATCCATTACTTGTGACATGATCACCCCACCAAGTGTCTCCACACTCCCAGATAAATCTGATGCCCATAATGTGCTGGCTCAGATTTGAGTATATGCCTCCTACACATACTTCCTACACATACTTCTAAGTGCATAGAGCAGTGCAGTGATGCCACTATGACATCATCATTACTCCTAAAGAAAGCTCTTAGCAACCCATCATGATACCTTCATTCTTCCTCTTTTTACGACAAACCTTCACTGGGATGCATCAGGATGCATGAATATGTGCACATAACATAGACCACTAAAGCAAAGCAGAGCTAGGAACAGCACAGTTGGGTTTTTTGCCCATCAACTACTTAACAACACTCTTTAGGTGTTACTGAGATGTCACCCACACATTAGGAAGCAGATAACATTTGACATTTCTGTTTTGACTTCCTTTCCAGGTGTCCCCCTCTGATTTTGTTTTGCTGCCTTTTCTTTGTTCTCTCTTTTTATCCCTTGTCCTCAGTGACCAGTGTCCTTCTGTGGTCTCCTGCTGGGGATGCTGCTACTGAGGAACCTCTCCAGGCCAGTCCTCTCTAGGCAGCATCCTGCTTCCGGCTTTTACCTCTCCCTTGAAAGACTTTCTCATTTGCTTCTGCAAAAGCTCCTTCCATGATTTCCACTGGCAGAATAGTAACCTAACCCAGTGTTCGGCAAACTGCGGCTCGCAAGCCACATGCGGCTCTTTGGCCCCTTGAATGTGGCTCTTCCACAAAATACCATGTGCAGGCATGCACGTAGAGCATTACTGAAACTTCGTGGCCCATGCGCAGAAGTCGGTTTTTGGCTCTCAAAAGAAATTTCAATCTTTGTCCTGTTGATATTTGGCTCTGTTGGCTAATGAGTTTGCCGACTACTGACCTAACCCATTGCAACATAATGAGGGTGATCCCAGTGCTACTGTAGCAGATGAAAGTCTTGTCTTATAGATGATTCTACACCACTGTAGGAAATGAGAAGTGTTTTAGCAGAGCTGAGGATCGGGTGCCAGAAATTCACACCCCAGTGACAACTTAACCATTGTAGGGCCCCAAGTTTGGTTGATAAATCTTCTGATTTTCTATTAGGTATGACTGATCATCTAGAAGTCTGCATCCAGTGCATGGACATCTCAGTAACACCTAAGGAGTGTAGTTGAGTAGTTCATGAGGTGGGCTTTGGCAAGAAGTCCAATTTGATTAATTTCCATGCTGTGGCGCCAGAAGGAAATGGGGATGTGGCTGGAATGTGCTTGAGTTCTTGGAGAGACTCACTCAGCAACTGATGGACAATCTAAAGCCTGTAGTCAACCAGAGGCCACTTTTCCTTAGATTTCCACTCAGATGGGATATGAAAGTAGTTCCCACACCTGTCTGGTATGGGCTTGCTAGAAACTCCTGCACTATGTGAGGCAAATGCTCCACATTGTTTCTCCTGTCTGTCACACTGGCAAGAGAAGACAAAGATAGTTTCTCTGATCAAGGAAAGCCATGTCTCCCAAGAAGACTTTTGACAGGGCATTGATTGTCAGACCTCGCCGATAGTGTATGGATTGTGAGTGAGGCTAGATTCTCCAAGTGTAGGTTGTTTCACAGCTCACCACAATGATTATGGTTTGAACAAAGAATGAAAGGAGGCCTTATGGGTGGAAATTTGCTTTAAGGATACTTGTAGTGAAGACAGGTGGCAAAGAGAAAAGAACAATGGACATCTAGCTTTTGTGCGTATCTGGGATTAAACATTGTGTCCAACGTGTATCAGGACCTGAGGATGGTGAGGACAGATAACCTTGGGGAAAATCTAGGTTGAAGGTGAACTAACAAGGATGGGTAGTGGTGTGACTCTTTTTGGACAAAACTCTAGAGCGACTTGCACAGGAACATTCTGTATCAGGTGCTCTGACCACAGTCTGCACCTGGATAGGGGTGCAGTAGGCAATTCACAATCATCATGATGTTATCACCTTATGTGTATGATTTTATAAATAGTGGTGTTACTCTTTCAGAATTCCAAGAATTGCCAGTACAAAAAGACAGTGAATTATGGGATATGAGGCAAACTGATTTCATTCGTGTGTGTTTTTCAGGTTCTTAATCATTTGCATAAAAACTTGAAGAACATGTCGAAGAAGTCAGAGGCATCAAAGAAAAAGGTAATATTTGCAAATCTATATTATTTATGTCACTGTTTGCAGCTTAGTTTTTATTCTTTTAAAAAATATTGTTTAAATGTATTTTTATTGATTTTAGAAAGGAAGGGAGAGGGAGATAGAAACACCAATGATAAAAGAGAATCATTGATCAACTGCCTCCTGCACATTCCTCACTGGGGATTGAGCCTGCAACCCGGGCACGTGCCCTTGACCTGTCTCAAACCCAGGAACCTTCAGTTCACAGGCTGACACTCTATCCACTGAGCCACACCAGTGAGGGCTGTTTTTATCCTTAATTATCCTTATGTCCATTCAATACCTGTGAAACTTTGGTTCCTAAGGATAGGTGTTAGAAGGGAAGCTCTTACTGTTAGGTGTAGAATGGAGACACAAAATCAGCTCTGGAGAATCATTTGCTTCTGCAAAAGCAAATGTCACCATGACATCATCATTACTCCTAAAGAAAGCTCTTAGCAACCCATCATGATACCTTCATTCTTCCTCTTTTTATGACAAACCTTCATTGGGATGCATCAGGATGCATGAATATGTGCACATAACATAGACCACTAAAGCAAAGCACTAAAATGTAGATGGAGGTTTGGGGTTCTGAGCTTCTATAGGAGCTGTGTTCTAGCTTGATTGGGACTGAGTGTAATAGAATTACCACATCCAAAATTTGTATGATCTGGAGTCATTTTATTGTGTATTTCCCATCTCTGATGTGACTCCAGAAGGCCCTGGCTTGCCTGTCTTTAAAGGGAAGGAATCTGTCTCTTAAGCCCATGAGGAGGCACTATCGTTCTCTGTCCCTTCTAGACCTATGCTGATGTTGGTCCTGGGAGGAGATTTACAACTGGGAGAAGTCTCTGAGGGGGATTCTACCCATTTAAAAATTTTTTTAAATTGATTTCAGAGAGGAACGAAGGGGGAGAGAGAGAAATAGAAATATCAATGATGAGAGAGAAAAATCATTGATGACTGCCTCCTACATGCCCCCTACTGAGGATCAAGCTCACAACCTGGGCATGTGCTCTTGACCAGGAATGGAACCGTGAACTCCTGGTTCATAGGTCAGAGCTTAACCACTGAGTCACCTCGGCCAAGGCCCCATTTTTAATTGACTTTCTTATCAGGTGAATCCTGTCTAAATTGAGTGATGTTAACCCATGTAACATCCTGCTATTTTTGACATTTTACATTTTGAGGGAAAAAGCTATTTTACAAATAAGGGTTAATTTAACTTGTATTCAGTTAACATCTGTATAATGTCTAATTTTAGAAAATAGAATGAGACTATTAGGTACGGTAGTATGAATAGGGGAGAGGAGATTATAAACAGACATTGCTACCCCTAAATATTAGACATAACATCTTAAATATGTTATTTTTCCTTCTAAATATTTATTGTGATGAATGACAAGTAATTTGCAGAAATTATATTTTAATTATATTTATTTATTAAAATCCGACCTAAGTAAAGCACAGCTCTTCTGGATTTCACTTGTTGATAAGCGATGATGTAGGAAACATACATTTGTTCCCAAAGGTGATGGATAGAAATACTAGACAATTGGTTAAAAAGCCACAATCCAGCTTGCATTTGAAATACAACCAGATAATTTTTAGGAGAAGCAACTGACAGTGAAAGGCACAGTGTGGGCGGCAGGCCTGTCTTCGTGCCCCTTCCAGTGTCTGTCCTTGTGTCCGGGCAGCCATCAGTCACACAGGCTTTTTCACCATGTGGACCCATCTGCACAGCAGCTTAAAATTGTGGGGTGGGGTGGAGTGGGTGTTTCCTGCCTGTGTTCAGTAAGGCCTTTTTTTTAATCTATCTCTTAGTTTACCCTCTGAGCCACACTCCTCATCTCCAAGAAAGGGATGCATTAAAAACAATTAAGTATCATTCATTATACTTGCCCTTGGATGGTTATTTGCAGAGCCCCTGCCCTGCACAGGACCAGTGGCCACGGGCTCCAACCCTGCAGAGGGACAGGAATGAGTCTTGTCCACCTGGGGACCCTGGGAGGGGAGATGCTGGCTGAACTCCCAGGAGGTGATGCTGCTCACCCATGATACAGATTGTCATTGATGTGTGAGATTTTGTGCTCAGCAACAGGGATGAAACGAAGCATTTCTTTAAGGCTAGCTGGATCTCATCAACATGCAATGGTGATTTTAGTTCTTGTATTTGAAAAGTATTGGAGAAACCTGTGAAAGTCCCAGAGAAAAACACGGTTTAAGAGAACAAGAACAGGCTTAAAAGAATGAGAACAGGTCTTATAAGAAATGACAAGAAAAACTTCTGTTTTATTTTACAATAACAAGGTCTAAAGATTAGTAACTAGTTTAATAGTTACTTCATTCAATCTGTATGTGTGTGTAATGTATATGTGTATATGTGTGTATGTATGTGTATTATATATATATATGTGTGTGTGTGTGTGTGTGTGTGTGTGTGTGTGTAATTCTTATCCGAGGAGAGGGTATTTGGAGGAGAGAGGCAGAGTTTCTCTTCCATTCTCACAGCCTCTGACCCGTAATAGCCTTTGAACAGATGTCAGAAGTTCTCCTTTGATATATTTAATTGCCTCCTTGTTTGCACAGAACAAATAAAGCATAGTACGTGTGTCTGTGTGTGTATGTGTCTAAGAAAGAGAGAGCAGAGAGGTGCAGGGGAGGGTAAGAAGAGGGTGGAGAGAGGAGAAAAAAGAGGGAGGTCTGGGGTAGACAGCCAGGCTCAATGGAAAGTTCCCGAAGGCAGGGAACAGAAGGACTCCCTACCCCTGGTCTCTGCACAGTGCCTGCTGGATGATGGCTCCATGGAGCTCGGATGGTCACAGCTCACTCACTTCAGCTTCACTTGTTCCCAGTTTCTGCTCTCTGTGGCTAAGTCCAGCTCCCTGTCTCTGAGCTATATCTATCCACACAGAGATCCCCAGACAGCTGTCCTCCATATTTGGGGGGAAATACAGAAGGAAGATGTAATTTTCACTCAGGAATAATAGCAATGGCATCATAGAGCCCTGCGATGGAGCCAGCACTGTGCTCAAGCACAGCTAGACATAGGGGAATGCTTTCTGCCACAGGCCGGTCAGATACTAAGATGAGCTCTGGAATAGCCTTTGCAAGCCATCAGAATGGGACAGACGTCATATGGGTTAGTCACAGCCAGGAGGAACCTGGAACAGGGGTTCTCTTGACACCATGCCAGCCACTGGGTTCTTTCACTGACTCTTCCCCTTCTGGCTGGAAGTATTCAGCAAGCTCTTTGACAGTCATTTATACAATCACAGCATGGTTTTTAAAAAAAAAATTTTTTTTATCATTCTCATCTTTTAGGTACTTTTTTTTTTTTCTGTCCAGCCTAGTTCCATTAGACATATTTTGAGCAAAATTCTTTGAAGAAAAAAAACAAAACAGATGACTAAGATGACTTGAAAAAGAGCATGTCCCAGGAAGATGAGTGATGAATGTTTTTCAGATACTTTCAGCCTAAGGAGCAAAAAGAAACCTACAAGTACCCACCCCCAGGTGGAGGAGGTAGTGTATAGGCTCAGGATACGCCTGCAGATGGTGGCCCTGGGCTGGGATTCCACACTCTGTGTGGACTGCTGAGCACAGTGGTACATACACCAGGCTCAAATCTGTCTCTCATTCAGGCCGATGCTGTAGGAAATGAAGAAAAGCTCTGTAAGAAATCATCCTCATTATTCATTGAAGGGCATTCTTTCCCATAGCCTGACATTTCAAAGGAAAAGAGAGGAAGCAGCTTTTCCAAGTCTTTCTGGGGAGAATATGGCGTGTGTGTGTGTGTGTGTGTGTGTGTGTGTGTGTGTGTGTGTGTATAGAATCAGGGGTAGTGAACATTGAGGAAACAACTTCACCTTTAACCGGAAGTGAGCAAGATGATTTGCTTTTGTTGTGGTCTTTATCAGTGGTTCTTCAAACACCTGAGTTGTTTAGAAACTTCCTGAGCCGTGTGGCTGAGGCTCAGATGTCTGAGGTCTGTAGGAGCCATGCCCGGGCAGGGATGAGCATGTCCAACTTTCTCAGCCTCAGCTTGGCGGTTGTTCTGACCAGATCGTCAACATCCAGCCAGCATGGGAAGCAATAGTGACTGAAGGATTGTATTCTGCCCACATGTGGGGGCTTCTTCCCTATACTCATATTCCCTCCTTTCCCCCCTAACTCCTCCCAGCTTCTCAGCTCCTTGGGCTTGGAGGGCTAGGACTCTCTGTGCCAGGGGGACAGGAGACAACCACGTGCGGGCCACATGGATGAACAATATGCTGTGTCTAAGGGTGCACATGGACTCATTTTCTAGAGTTAACATCGCTGAGCTGACCTAGAGTCACCTGGGAACTGCCAGGGTACTGTCTGTGCCCTGACCAACACAATTTCACCATTGATGAGTTGAGATGTGTGAGGTGGGGAGCATAGAGAAGCCCTATGGATGCTTAGTGGGGAGCATTCTAGTTAACTCTTTTGGGAATAGCCTTAGATAAATGACACAGTCTATGAAAGTGGCCACTAAGTGTTCTTTCCTGATATTATATTGCAAATTGTAACCCAGTCTCATTTGAAAGCTACAGGTTGATCAACAAAAATAGTCTTGTTCATGGTTCTGAACAGACCAGAGATTATGAATAGTAAAAAAGGTAGATTTTGAATCACCCCAATGCACAGTGAGAGGCACTGCATTTCCCTGTGGGTCCTCCCACCCTAGTTGCTAATCCACGAGCTGCTGGCTCTCCTCTCGCCCTAAACTTGGTACTTGGCAGGTACTCCCTAACAGAAGCCAGAGACAATGTCCAGAGGGCATCTGTGTTGTGAAGTAGAGATGCTCTTGTTGTCTTAGGAAGAAGGTGATGTTTTCCATTTGCAGGTGGAAGGACCTTTAAGTGGTTTTGGCTCCGTGATCTGGGAACCAGTGTCTTCTGCGCTGAGAGAGAAATGGATGGAGAGCAGACGGTCCCCTAATGCATCTGAGCTGATCACTTGTTTGCCTTGTGCCTCCTGCAGTAACATCTAATCCTGCCACCTGTGAACACCTGTGGTCAGGTGATTCGGAGGCACAGATAAGGAAGTCCAGGCAGGCAGGTGGAAGGCGGTTGATGGTAACTAGAAGTTCTGAGCAGTTCCTGCCTGTGTCCCAGCCATTCAGGGCATGGCTTTGGGGTCACTGGTGCCTGGCTTCTCGCTCTCACTTTGCGTGCAGCCATAGGACACCGGGCACTTGTCTTCACCATTCTGAGTCTCAGTTCTTTCACTGACAGCCAGTGATCACTGTGGGGTCTGCTCCCTGGGGGCGCTGGGGGTAGATGGGGAGTGGTCTCAGCGGGTCACACAGTCCTCAGTGCCATCCTCGCAGCCCCGTTTCTGCTGTCACCGTTAGACAGCTAGGCCCTGCTGCTTCCTCAGCTTCACTCGGTGGAGGAGGCCACCCTTGAAGGAAGGAACCAGCTGATTGCTTTGCATTTTATAGTTTAAAAAATATCAGTGGATCACCATGTCTGACTGACTCCTAGAGATGGAGTGTCAGCTTATCACAGCAGCTTCATAATTGTTGCCTTTCAACATGTACTTGGCCCCAGCCCACAGATTTGCAGCCCTGGAGAAGGTGATGTGAGTGTCTCCATGCAGTGTGCAGGGAGAGGGAGGCAGGAGGGGACAGAGGGCAGGCAAGGAGGCTCGGCCCTGCTGAGGTCCTTATGGGGAGGACTACCCATTCCTGCTCCGTAGACATCCCTTCACTCACACCTGTGGGTGTTGCTGGGTTAGGAGCACAGGAAGGTTTACAGTGCCAGCAAGTGGTCTCATTGGTCTACAGACTGAAACCCACACCGTCTCTGGGATAGACTCATATCCTTAACTTGCCAAAGTCTGAGGAGGAGAACTAAACATCTGCCCTAAAATGTGAAGCATGTCTCTGTGGAGGCCACTGCTCAGCTCAGGCTCCAGGTGCTGCTGAAGGTTTTGAAGGGGCTGTGTTGAATCTCTAGACCTATCTATTCCTATGACCTAAGTAGCAGTCCCACCCTTCACACGCACTTCACACACACAGCTAAGTTATTTCTGTGCCAGGTCATGCCAGGCCTTGGAGAAGTTTGAACAAAACCAGTCTGTGACCTGAAGATCAATGCTGAGCAGATTTATTATCTATTGGATCCCATAGGAAGAGTCATGAGATTATCTTAGGACGTGTTTGCCATGCTGGGTTCTTTCCTGTTGGGACTGATGTGCCTTCTCCACACCCCCCCCCCCCCCCCCGCATTGTCCCCAGACGGCACAGACGGTCCTGGTCGTGGTCGTGGTCTTCGGAATCTCCTGGCTGCCGCATCATGTCATCCACCTGTGGGTCGAGTTTGGGGTCTTCCCACTGACTCCCGCCTCCTTCATCTTCCGCGTCACAGCGCACTGCCTGGCCTACAGCAACTCCTCCGTGAACCCTATCATCTACGCCTTCCTCTCTGAGAACTTCAGGAAGGCCTACAAGCAGGTGTTCAAGTGCCATGTGTGTGGCAAGTCCTCCCTCAGCAATGCCAAAGAAAACAGAAGTCGATTGGACACCCCGCCATCCACCAACTGCACGCATGTGTGAAGGAAGGTGCGTGTGGGCCTCACATGGTGTTTTCCCCACGTGGACCAGGCATTTACAAACACAAGGGGAAGGGGGAGGTGTGGGGCGGAGGTTTAGGAAGGCTATACCTGTTATCTTAACAACAATTCATATTGTTTTGGTTAAATTTTACTTGTGCTTAAAAAGTACTTTGATTCATTTAGGAAATCCCTGGGTCTAGAGGAAATTACTTCCAAATTTTATTTTATTTTAAAATTCTATTTCTAAAAAGGAAAAAAAAATGCTGCCTGTTAAGAAATGAAAGTTTAATAGAATTCCATAGATATTTCTATTCTTTACAGAATAAGGATTTAACCTTTACGTATGGTCAGGAATGTTTATGATCTATATTTTGGAGCAGAATTTATTAGAAAAGAAATTTATACTTTAGCTCTTCAGTTTTAAGAAAAGGGGTAACATTATAAGTTATGATCATGGACAGTGAAAATGTTCACTGCCGTTATTTTTGTGGCCATTTGCATAGTGGGGTTCAGACTTTGTCCAGTGTGTTTGCACAGGTCATCTTTGCTGTGGGCTGTGAGTGGCGCACAGAACTCAGACCATGCCCTGCCTCCAGCTGTGACCATAAGGTCCATTGAGTTGGTCTCAGGAGCTCAAAGTGGTGTTTCAGCAGCGACTCTGGGTGTGAGCTATTGGTCACATGACTCTTGGCTGTGAGCTATTGGTCCAAGGTCACATGAAACCTACCCTGTGAACCTGGGCTTTGTAGAGTTGGCTGAAAAAGTAAAATTCAGAGGAAAGTGCCAAGTACAACTATGCTAGCAGTGGAAGCTGTGAATGAGTTCTTGAGACAATGAAACTGGGCATTAAAATTATATATATTCTTAGCAAAGGATTTAGCTATGTCTTAAATGGAACCAATTCAAAGGAGAGAATTAAAGAAATGTCAGCGAGCATGATGTGTAGGTAATAATTTCTAGGGGCTGAAGAGCAGTCAGAATTCAGTGAGTCACAGGAGGGAGTGGGCAGGCTGCATGGGGACAGTGGGCTGAGTGCTCGGCTCCGGTAACGCTGGAATAAAACACGAGGGATATCCACCTAGGAATGTCCTTTCTAGTACAAACAAGTGCTTTTTTATTGAATTGCAATGATGTTATTGCTCATTTACCCCACACATTACTCCCTCTGGAAATGTTAATTTGGGGTTGAAATCATCACCACTCGAGTTTCAAATGTGGTTTTCATCACAATGACATATCTATTCATGTGTACAATGAGGCAATGCATAAAAAGATCAAGTGATCTTATATTAGAAGACACTTTTCTGAATGCAAGACCCTGATATATTTTAGGAGGACACAAAAGGATGAAGATTACAAAAAAAGGTTTTGTGTAAGGTACACCTGTGTCAAATCAGGACTCCATGTAAAATATCACATTTTAGGGCAAAAAACAGACTTAGTGTAAGTCTTTGCATGCTGACTTCTCTAGCTCACAATTGATGATCACGAGTTATATTCCTCCAGCTCAAAGGGTTACATTTGTGTGTGTTTTTTTTTTCATTTTATTTTATTTTTATTTTTTTTATTTTTACATATTTTATTGATTTTTTTTGCCCCCTCCCTCCCAAATATCCCCTCCCTCCCCAGAGTTTTAAGTCCATTGGTTGTACTTATATGCATGTATAAGGTTACATTTGTGATGTCTCTGGACAGATGAGGAGAAAATCCTTGGAGAGGATGGGATTCTGAGCCTCATGCTTGCTGGCCGGGGAGAGCAGTGGTGTGTATGTGGACGTGAGTATTTTAAAGAACAACCTAAGTCCTGTGTGTGGAAATCTTTTTTCATTTTATTCAAATACAGTGGCAGAGACGTCGTATCCTGACAATGATACCTCATGTGCTTGTGGAGCTTGAAGTTGCAAATACCAGATCAGCTTCTGTGCACACAGCACTGCTGGAGGCCTCGGGACCTGTGTGGATGACAGCAGCTTCCTGTGCCATGGCTGTCTGTCCCCTTGTTTCCTCTTCTGATTCCCACGCACGCACACGTGGAAGTGTTTTAAAAATGCTTATGTTTCTAAGACACAGGGAAAATGCTTCAGCACAATGCATTGACCCATACCATGCCTTCTTCAGTCCCTCCCAGATGCCGTTGGTGCGACGGAAGCCAAAGGCTCAGTGCCGAAGTAGTAACTGGCCCGAGAACCCCCAGTTTGCTGAGTGATAATGCACGTCAATTCATTTTATAGTTTTAGGGTATCCTTGCCGCCCGCTGCCGTTTCAGTCCATGCATCTCATTCAGAGTTTAGGTTGTTTACTTCCATAGCAAATTTTGATCCTGATGAAAACTTCCATCCTGCAAAGATCTAAACCTACGTTTTCCAGAGAACTTGTCACAGACTCCTATTCTCAAGGAGCATTCGAGGCGTGCGTGCCTTTCCTAGGTGGCTGCCTTCCTAATGCCCAATGTGGTGATCCATTCAGAAGCACCCTGTTTTCCTCAGAAAGGACAGATGGCAGCCAACACGCTTTTTTTTTTTTCCAGCCGCCAGGCTCAGGGAGAAGCACTGCGTGTGCCTCTGACGTCAGCTGCTTGGAAACCTGATTTTTCAGTGAACTTCAAATCAAAGGGATGATTCCTCCTTAGATTTGGCTGCCTCGGTGCCAAGGCAGCGGTTGCTTTTCAGGGCATTTTGCTTCCACACAGGGAGACAGGCTCTGGAATATGCAAGCGCTTGCTGTTTTATGAATAAGCCCCAGTTTCAGCTTCCTACTAGTGAATACAGGGACAAGGCCGGAAAGGCTCTCTGGTCCTGTGCTCCCAGGAGGAACCTTACAAAGATCCTCTCTCTCCTATTCTGGCCTTGCATGTGCTCAGCAACGTGGGTGGAGGCCGTTTCCTGCACATTTTAGGTAAATATGTTTGCTGTTAATAAAATTGAACTGCACATGTTAGGATGAAAGCACCATTTTGCTCGTCTACTTCCCACTGCCCCCCCAACTTATTGTGCTTCGGTGGTAATTTGCTTCTACCTGGACCTCCTCACTCCAATACCCACCACAGGAAAATTCCTGTTCGGCCTCAGCTGGGATGAGTTAGAGCCGAGAGGAGGGCTGACAGCTGAACTGCATGAGTCACGCAGGCGAAGGCTTCGTGTGACTCAGCTCTACACTGTGATCTCACGGGTGATTGCATTTGCCTGGCATCTCAGATGCCTTGAGACAAGGCAGTAATAATTCTGACGGGTTAATTGAACCCCCAAGGCCAGGCTTCTTCTGAGCAGGACAGGACAATTTATCTGAACATCCGTTTCCTTCCCTCAAGTTCTGAAACGCTGGTGTTGAGGCAGCGTACACACAGAGCACACAGAAAGTAACATATTGTTAGCTTCATCACGCTCTTGCTTGAAGGGGTTTATTAAATGCACATACATAAACCACAGTCGTGTAAATTGGGTAAATATATCAATGTCTGCTTCCTCTGGAAACATCTACATTTTGTAAATGTTGTTCTATGCTGGTTGAGAATATCCCCCAGGCTTTACATTTGTGAATAGCTTATATTACTCTTGGTCATTAAAAAAAAATGTTGGATGTTAGGTTATTTGTCAAGTAGATGTTTGTGGCTTTGTTTAATGACTTGTTTATTTCAACAACAAGTGATTTCTGGGGTGTGAGGTGTGGGTGGAGGTGGAAGAAGGCATAGAGAAAATAAGTGGTGATAAAAAAGTAAAATAAAATACAATACAAATACAAATAAAAAAGTATGTAGAGAAATAGTGGGTGGCCTAGCATGCTGATGGTTACTTGCTGCCTTGGAAAGAAAAAGTGTACAGAATGATGATTTTATCTGATTCTAATTGGTATTATACTTTGATATTTTCTCTTTTAGAAGTGGAAAAATTGAGTCTGAGGAACAATTTGAGATGCTTGAGGCCTCCTTGGTGTAAGCTGTAAGGTAACCAGATCGTCCAGGTATTGGCAGGACAGTCCTGATTTCTAACAATTTTTCCTGCATCCTGTAGCATTTTAAAAAAGTCCCGATTTTTTGAAAGATTGGAAATATTGGAAAGATTCTTTTCAAAAATTGGGACTTTTTAAAAACGCCATGGGATGCGGGAAAAATTGTTAGAAATCAGGACTGTCCCGCCAACACCTGGACGAACTGGTCACCTTAGTGAGCTGTGTCTGCACACAGCCAGCTTGTGTAAGGAGAGCAGATCGTGTGTCCTTAGGCATCAGGATTGTTTGTGGTAACGGTGCCACAGACCCCAGATCCTGGGTTCCTCACTGGCAGGTTCCCCCACACTCACTGTCTAACGGCAGCTGCCACCCTGGGCCCCTGGGCGCACCTCCTTGATGGCAGGAAACCTTGGAGATACATCAGGTCCTGGGTGCCTGCTCCTCTGCTGTGCTGGCGCCTTTCACTGCTGGGTTCTGAATGCACAGTGGCCACTGCTCAGCAGCCTTAGTCCTGAGTGTCTGAGGACTCGAGTTCTGTCCTGAGTGCAGCCCTGGTGATAGGGTCATTGTGGAAGGAGGGTGCTGAGTAAGCCTCTTGTTTTGGTAGACTTTGTGGAAATAACTTCAGCGGGCCGTTCTGCGTCTGAAGGCTGGCTGAGTTTGCCATAGTCAGACAATTGTGTGAAGCACCGACCCTATAAGCTAAAGGTTTTGGTGTCCCTTTAGGTTAAGCCACCTCATCCTGCTTGCCGGGAAACAGATTTCTGGGCATGCCAAGTGATATTGGTCACTCTCCAGTTTCATCAGGGAAGGGGCTGTCTGCCATTCCTGGGCCAGAGCTTCCTGGTCTGTAATGAGAGAAGGGGAATCTAGGAGAGGCTCTGGGGCACACAACAACCCTAAGTCAGAGAACAAGGATTAGAATTGTAAACAGGTGTCCATCATAGGTACCAATAATCAGATGGTGTCTCCATTTAGAGACAGCAAAGATCCAGGGAGGTAGAGGTGTGTGGGGCTATGTCGATTTTCAGTAAAAGTCTTCCCATCTTGTTAGAA